ACCCTGCATTTTTGAAAGGGACACAGCAGAGGCAGCTAGCCCCCTCTCACATTGCCCCTCTGCTCTTTTAAGCAGGACACGGCAGTGGTAGCCGTCCCCCTGACCTCCCTTACACTGCCCCTCTGTCCTTTTAAAGGGACATAGCAGCGTCAGCCTGTCTGCTTCAGGTCTGTCTCAGCATAAGCCTAAGAGAGATGTGTGTTTTGTTTTGTTTTTTTGGGGGTGGGGAGGAAGCTGCCTCGGCTGCATCCCTCTTAAAAATGCAGAATGGCAGCCTGAGAGTCGTCTTCCTCTGTAGCATGGGGCATGGATCACTTGCTGGAGGATTCTCTGCATCTTGGGGTCTTTAAACCATCATTTGAGGACTTCAGTATCTGAGTTATAGGTGAGAGGATTATTCCAGGAGTGGGTGGGTGAGATTCTGTGGCCTGCATTGTGCAGGGGGTCATACTAGCTGATAATAATGGTCCCTTCTGACCTTAAAGTCTATGAGTTGTCCTGAGACCCAGCCGGGGACCAGAGAATGAGCCTTTGCCCATCGGCTCCTCTCTGTCCCTTTAAGAGTGCAGAGCAGCAGCATGAGCCAGAAGTGAGTGCTTAAAGCACCCTTCCTTAATGACTAGTCTCGTAGTTGATAAAGTCCATCGAATACTCAACTAGTAAATTAATCAATACTTGACATCCTTATCACACATCCTCATTATTGTGTTACAGTTGTTATGGTTAAATGAACTTCTGAATACGGAAGGTATTTATTACATAAAATTAAGATAATAATCTGGGGGCGGGGTTTTTAAAATTACCAGACATGCCTTTTAGAATATTAAGGGCAAAACACAGAAGTTAGTAACTTGAAATATCTAGTGTGAAATTGTCACAATACTACTGAATGAATAGCATTCAGTACTCTGCTTAATGAAAAAAAAATTAGCTGAAAAGGTTTTCGTATGCAATATATGTGAGGATTGTATAATTAATAGGCAAAGTCTATGAGTACATTGAAGGTTTAATAATATAACATTGCAGGGACATGTTTTTACCTTGCAGCACAAGATAATCTGGTCTTAGAATGAAAGAGGAGACCATGAGTGTTGTTTTTTTTAAAAAAAGGCACTTTAAATTAGAGCTTGAAGATAAATATTCCTTATTGTAAATTTCCACTTATTCACATTTCTTCCTACAGTAAATACTCCACCATTCATGCACCTGGCCCCTCAAGGATGATTACAGAAAACTCTGCCTTGATTTATCTGTTATTCAGATCTGACTGTATCTGCCTCCGGACAATATTATAGACCATTTTGGAAAAGGGTGGAGCTGAATTATGTCATTTAGTCCTAAAGAGTTTCTATCAACTCTGGCTTGACCCTTTGTTGAACTTGAAAATTTTGTGCTGAAGGGAATGGTAATGCAAACAAATGGCTTGGAAAATAAATCTATAGAGTAAGACTGTACAGCATAACTAGAACAATAATTAATGTTGTTTCTCACTATAGTATTAAAAGCATTGTGATAATTAGAGTGAAATATACTACTTCTATCTAAAATAAGGTGAGTAAAATGGCATTGTTTAAAAGGAATTTGTATGAGCTCGAAATTCATTATTTGGAGTAAATTATCTGCCATCATCTTAAAAAGTTGCTGTCCTTATATCCATTTAGTTATTTAGTTCTGCTTGATTTTTCTTGGTACTGTGAAAGAGCTGGTTTCTTTTCAGCATAATAATTTTAATTTAGGAAATATATATTTTGAATTTTAAATTGCACCCAAAATTAGTTTAAGAAATGTGTTTTGGAGAAGTTAAAAATTGGAATTGCTTACACACACAGGAGCTAAGTTTCCCCCAAAGTTTCATGGCTGGGTGGCTGTCCAGTAAGATGTCAAGTGTCATGCACTTGAGGTGTCCCTCCTGCCACTGCCATATTGCTCCTGTCCTTTGCTTTGGAGTCTGCTTCCTATGAAGAGTGGCATGTGGGGAGAGGCTGTTGATGTCATGGTGTCCCCCTCCTACCGCCCTTTATTCCATCTCCACAGAAAGGGGGGCAGGAGACAGGACATGATTCAGGATTGAGGGAGCTTGCTGGTGGCTGCTGCTGTTTCTGAACAAGCAGCTCTACTAAAAAGGGAAACATACTTGAAATGGAGGCAGCATATTTAAAGGGGCAGTGTAGTAATAGAGATGTAGTCGTGTTAGTCTGGTCTTGCTGAAACAAAAGACAGGATTATGCAGCACTTTAAAGACTAACAAGATGGATTATTAGGTGATGAGTTTTCATGGGCCAGACACACTTCCTAAGATCAAATTGTGGAAGAAAATTGGCATGACCATATATACCAAAGGGATACAATCAGAAGAAAGCGAACATGCACAAAATTGACAAATCAGATTTTAGAACGGGTGTGTGTGTGTGTGTGTGTGTGTGTGTGTGTGTGTGGGGCAGGGAGGTTAGTTTCTATGAGAGGATGATATTAGGGGTGATAATTCATATTTTATTTTATTTATTTGTGTGTGTGTGTGTGTGTATATATATATAAAAGATAATGATATTGGGGTGAAAAAGGCAGTGCTCTGCTTTCACACACACACTTACTTGTATGTGTTTGTAACGCTTTCATACAGCACACACAGTGTCTTCTGACACACACTCCTTCCCACACAGATTTGTGATGATGTTCCTTCTTAATTCTTCTTTCTAAGTGTTATTTTAGTTTTTTGACTGATCTATTCATTCATCATTTTTATTTCTGTATTATGTTTGCACTACTCAAAGAGTTAAATTTAATCTAAAATGCCTAACCTGTCCTGCTTGGAGTATTATCCTCTGGGTCTCGACAAATACACTCACGCGCTCGCCCGTGGTGAGTAGATTTTACCAGTTGGCGAGTGCAGGGACGGACTGGCCCGGTGGGCCGTTGTGACGGGCTGGCCGAAGCCCGCACTATGGGTGGCGCGGCCCGATCCGATCCCTGCGCCCCTCTGGCTCTGTGCTGTCCTCGCACCCTGCTCCCCTTGTGAGTCGGGAGTGAAAGGTACTTGTCCACAGGGAGGGGCTGGACAGGGCAGGGAAAAGGCTGCTGTGACCCAGCAGTGAGTGAAAGGGGGAGTTCACTTGAAGCGCCTTTGCCTTTATGGAAAAAAACGAATGAAAATAATATTTGCTATTTATAGGGCTAAAATGCCGGGACAAAAACGAAAGCAAACAAAAAAAGAACCCATTGCAAAATGCAAATGTGTAAAAGACGACAAAGGGGGGGGCGGGCAATAATTTTTTGCTTGGGGCAGCAGAAAACCTAGAGCTGGCTCTGGGGGAGGGGAAGGGGCTTGTGCGGAGGGGAGGGGAGGAGGTCAGGAGAAGAAGAAAGGGGAAGTCACCAAGGGACAGGGATGCAGGAGAGACAAATGCCAGGGGGCCAAGTACAAACAATGAGGAAAAGGGCAGGAGGGGAGGTGTCAGTGGGAGGGCTGATAGGGTGATGCTGGGAGAGGAGAGGGTAAGGGCACTGGGGGGCTGGAGGAGGAGGTGCTGGGAGAAGGCTTGAAAGAAGGGGTGGGCATGAGGAAGGTGGGGATGGAGCAAGGCATCTGTGAGGGCACAGGGGCATGAGGGGAACGGGGGCAGAGGGTGGTGAGGGGGTGGGTATCAGGGAAAAAGAGAGCATAGGGGGCAGAGGCACTGAGGGAAGGGGGAGGCACCAGGAGGGTGCAGGTGCCAAGGGATTCTGAGTGTGAAGCAGAAGAGCAGACACCTGCAGGGGAGGGACCAGCACCAGAAGAGAGAGGTGGGGCAGGTGTGTAGAGGGAGGTTTTAGGAGAGGGGATGAGGAGGGGTAGCTCACATGATCAGAGTAGGGCTACTGGAGGAGTGGGCACAGGGGGGAAAGAAGGGCTGGTTTAGGGGGGCAGGTCTCATGAAGTCTGAGAGCAGTGAGAAGGGCAGGAGTCAGGACATCAGAGGAGAGTGAGGGGTTGGGGGACAGCAGGCACCAGGGGAGCTGATGGAACAAGGAGAGGAGACATGGCAACAGAGAGAGAACTTAGAGGTTTATAAGAGATTTATTAATAGCTTGAGTGATATTTATTAATAACTTATTAGTAATTACTGTTCTTATTCTTATTAGGAATTAATGCCATTAAAAAAGCACTTTTTGTGGGGGAGGGTGGAGAGTCCCTTTTTTGTCTGGTGAGAAGGTTTTTCCATAATTTGTCGACCCCTGATTATAGAGAGAGAGAGAGAAAAATATATCTAGGTTTTTGGTTTCTACTGGTGGTTAACATCCCCATGTTACCGAAATATGGTGCACATAACAAAATTAATTCTGCACATGGATGGAAAAAATTAGAGGAAACACTGCATAGGAGGCCTGATTTTTATTTAAGGGACTCGTCTGAGGACTCTGTTGTGGAAATAACCCTCACCACCTTGCTGATGGGTGAGTGAGAAGAATATGTCCTTACACTGTTCTTGGAAAAGCTGCCCCCAAACTCAATGTTCTATGGGTAGGATGGGGCCTCTCCCTGCCAATGTTACTTTACTTCCCTGGTAGTATTCAGTACTCCTCTGAAGTGGACAGCTTCCGGGGAGCTATGGAAAAAAATAATAGGTGACTTTTATGGAATTGAGGGACTTTGGACTGGGGAGGAGCAACTGGTGCTACAGAGACCCCCAAGATACTCCTTCTTTGTGAAGAATTTGCATTAGCGTGAAATGTCCCTAAGACAAGGATAAGCCTACTTTTCTCTGCTTCCATTAGGAGCAGGGCCACATAAGCTACCAAAAATGTCTAATTTGACAGAATCAGGTTTAAAAATACTGTTGCTTACTTGAATAAAAATACATACTTTGAACACACTTCGTTATACTGTAATTCACTGAATGTACTGTAAGAAAAACCATAAGATATGACGTGAATTGTTTTGACAGCTTGCTGTACAATTTTTTTTTTGTGGGATAATAGGTTAACTTATTAGTATATACTAAGATTTTTCTTTTGTTTTCCAGATTCATTATCAAATAAACATGGGAGCATTCTTGGATAAACCAAAAACTGATAAACATAATGCTCATGGTGCAGGGAATGGCTTGCGTTATGGTCTCAGCAGTATGCAAGGATGGAGAGTGGAAATGGAAGATGCTCATACAGCTGTTGTAGGTATTCCTCATGGCCTAGAGGACTGGTCTTTTTTTGCTGTCTATGATGGTCATGCAGGATCTCGTGTGGCAAATTACTGTTCAACACATTTATTAGAACACATCACCAACAATGATGATTTTAGGGCATCAGAAAAGCCTGGATCAACTCTTGAGCCTTCAGTGGAAAATGTCAAGAGTGGAATCAGAACTGGCTTTTTGAAAATTGATGAATATATGCGCAATTTTTCAGACCTCAGAAATGGAATGGACAGGAGTGGCTCAACAGCAGTGGGAGTTATGATTTCACGTGAGCATATATACTTTATCAACTGTGGTGATTCACGAGCTGTTCTCTATAGAAATGGACAAGTGTGTTTTTCAACACAGGATCACAAACCTTGCAACCCAAGGGAGAAGGAGCGAATCCAGAATGCAGGAGGTAGTGTAATGATTCAGCGTGTTAATGGTTCATTGGCAGTTTCCCGAGCTCTGGGTGACTATGACTACAAATGTGTTGATGGCAAAGGCCCTACAGAGCAGCTTGTTTCCCCAGAGCCTGAGGTTTATGAAATCTTAAGAGCAGAAGAGGATGAATTTATCATTTTAGCTTGTGATGGAATCTGGGATGTAATGAGCAATGAAGAGCTCTGTGAATTTGTTAAATCTAGGCTTGAAGTATCAGATGACTTGGAAAAAGTGTGCAATTGGGTGGTGGATACTTGTTTACATAAGGTATGTAACTCTTTTTCCATAAATGTTGTTATATAATTATTGATCTTTAATTGTTAGATTAATATGATACCAATTATAAGGAATGATTTCAGTTCCCTCTAGTTGTATTTCCTTCTTGTGACCGAGGGAATGTGAATAAGTTCATACTTCTTGCAAGATTGGAGTGAATTTGAGGTTTTAGCTCAATTTTCTGCAGCTCTGGAAGAGGAGGGAATTTTTTACTCCTGACGACTATCTTTTATTGTGTGCAAAAGATGAGAATCCCATGGGGCTTGGTGTAGAAGGAAACTTTAAAAACTTTGTACTATGTTACCCTCCTACTCCAGAGTCCTGTTTGTGCTCCTGCAAGAGAGTGGGTGTGGTGATGTGCTCTAGGAACTGAACACTGGTTTATAGCTGAACAAAAAAATATATAATGACTAGTAATACTGAGTTATCTCATTTGTTTGGCTTGGCAGCAACCGGTGCTTGCTAAAATGTTCTCTCCATGTTCACAGTTTGAGAATGGATAATTTTAAAAAACACTCTTCCAAATCTTCATGCTATCTGCTATATAGAAGCACCTAGGATACCTATTCTTCTTTCAGTCCTTACACTACTGCATCAAGAATTTCAGTTAAGATTATACAGATTGAACCTCTCTAGTTGGCATGTTCTGGTCTGGCATGATTTTAGTTAGCCAGGTGTCCATTTATCATGGTTGTGGCCATGTTTCCTGTGATCCCACAAAGTTTGTTTACTGCCACTAGTCCTAGCTCTATGTTCTGTGCTGTTGCTTAGTTTAATTTACCCCAAAATGTCTTCTAAGATCCCAGTAAGCAATGGAGTTGGTAATGCTGCTAGACAATATTGACTTCCTGTGGTTCAGCATATGCTCTATTTTGGCACTGGTCAGGTCCCAAGGGTTCCGGACTAGAGAGGTTCAGCCTGTACAAACACGATATGCAAAGAGAGGAAAGATCGGACTTTTGATAGATCATTTTTGTGGGGGAATTAAAATACATTCTGAGAATGGTTGTACAGTAGTAAATTAGGGCTGGGATTATAGTTTTGCAAAAATGAAGTACAAGATAGGAATGTAAGCGACTTATCGACTAGTCGACTATCCAATAAGCAAAAATAGAAGGATAAGTGGAAGCTGGGGTTCTTGTACATTTCAAAGCGGAAGCACCTGCATGGAGTCCAGGGTCAGCGGGGGACTGCCTGCTAGCCCTGGGGTCCACAGGATGTTTCAGTCATTGATATTTCAGAGGTGGAACTCATGCTAGTCCTTTATCGAATAGTCAAAGGAAATCACATCAACTATTTGATTAGTTAATTGATATTTAACATCCCTAGTATAAAAGAGATACTAAAAGAAAGTAGCATTGATGTGTTTGCATGTTATGTGTTGAACTATAAAATCAGATGGAAATGTGTACAAATTATCAAGTAGGAGATGAAATTAATATTCAAATTTGGTAGTTTTCAATAATTTGTAAGTAAATTGTGAGTTTCATATTAACTACGTATTAGTGGCTGACCTGGGGAGGTGGGTAGAAAAAGGTTATGTTGGTTCTTGGCCATATGAGTGATTTTATTCGTTTTTGGAACTTCATAGCATCAAAGAGAAATGCAATCTAAGCAGTGGCACAAACAGATTCAAATACATAAATATATTTGGAATGAGCTGCAATGGCTCACCTGAGGTTTTTTTTTACAATTTTATTTATATATATAATACACACACACACACACACACACACACACACACACACACACACACACACACGGCTCGACAAACTATAGAATCTACTCGCCCATGGTGAGTAGATTTCAGCCGGGGACCCCGTTTACCGGCGGTGCGCACATGCACAATGCGGCTCTTGCACATGCGCAGTGCGGGGCTGGCAAGCGGCTTTCGCTGCCATTTGTCAAGCCCTGTGTGTATACATACACGCATATAATATATATGTATGTGTGTGTATTTTGGTAACAGTTAAGCAATTTCTTCATTATAACTTGTAATCGTTTTGGTGTTAGCTTTTAAACAAGTAAAGATATGCTTAATAGTGCCATTTATTACTAATTGTAAGGTAATCTATAAATACCAAGACACTAACATCTTTTCAACATAAAATATATAGCAGCTAGTTAATTAACATGTTACAAATGTGCACTTAATTGTGTTAACAATGGTTCATTATGGTATCTGTCTTTGAACAACCTAGTGCAATTAATAGTGAGGTAGACAAGAAGTTTAAAACAAAGAAGATCCCTCTAATGTTTTTTTTTTTTCTTCTCTCCACTATATAGGGAAGTCGTGATAACATGAGTATTGTACTAGTTTGTTTTTCAAATGCCCCTAAGGTCTCAGATGAGGCAGTGAAAAAGGATGCCGATCTGGATAAGCACTTGGAATCACGGGTTGAAGGTAGGAAAACCACTTTGCGTATTAAATATATTGCTATCTTCATAAGCTTAAAAACCTAATGGTTTTCAATTTTAAATGATGCTGGGTTAAATTCAGACTGGCTAGATAGTAGGTAAAACTCCATGGATTTCTGTAAGTTAGGAAAAACATTAAATGTTTGGTTCTAGCTAATTCTGATCTAACCAATACCTCTTTCTTTATCTGTTCAGGAGTTAACACTTTTTACCTCTGCTTAGTTGATTGAAGTGAGCCACAGGCTTCACCTTAAGATTGACCATGACCTGTTAAAATGTGATAAAAATTTTAACCTGTACCTATGATCAGAAAAAGGTTAGGATTAGCACTTGATTTAAGCACAACTTCATCTAATCTAGGTAAACTTTATTGAAATTGGTGGAGATGAACTTGCTTATATCATATCTTGAATTTAGCCCATTATATTTAAACAGTTTATGCTAATCAAGCCTATGGTAAAGATTGTATTTAGGAAGTAATGTCTATTATCTCCCACCTTTCTTTTTTATATTTTGTGTGTCTCAAACGTTTTTCTTCAATTTTCAACATTATTTTATCACAATGAATCTTGCTGTCTTTTTCTTCTAATGATAGAAATACCATTGTTTTGGAAGCTATGATGCCAGTGTAATAACCTAAGTAATCTGTTTTTAGGGAACATGTGCTTCATGTCAGCCACTTGTATTGTGGCTATATTGGTATTGTGGCTATATTGATAGTTGGGTATCTTAAATTATTATTGTAGCAAATACTCAGTCTGGCTCTCAAATTGCTTTTCTGTGTTTCATAAATTTTGGCATATATTTGAAATTGTGTAAAAAAATAAATATGGATTCTAAACATTTTGTCATTGCATATATTGTAATAGGCTAACAGTTTACTCTGTGGAAGAGAAGGCTCTTTTGAACTATTATTTCTAATGTTTCATTTGAACTCGTGTGGCTTTTGTGTTTTTTGTTAAGGTTCAGAGGAAATCTGTTGTTCTTGAGTTAATGTGAAATAAGGATTTCATTAACTAAAAATTGTTCAAACCATTTTTTATTTTAAAAATTGAAAGCATATAAGTCGTCCTTAATGAAAAATGCATGCTTTGCTGTAGCCCGCCAGAGTAAGTCTCAGGTCCAACACTATGCTCTCAAGGTACAAAATACGCCACACAGGTATCTGTTAAACACAAGTAGTTTATTTCCTGACAGCTAACAGCTGTGCCCCATAACTGGAAGAAGAATATAACAAAGAAGCGGCATATCTTACGTCCCTTCCTGCAAGCCTGGGACCCCGGGTAGGCTGCGGACGAAGTGGGAGGTTGTCTCAGCTTCCGAGGCGCCAGTACCCAAAGCCCATCAGTGAGGTTCAATTTGCTAGGCTCTGAGGCAGCCTTAAATACAGTTTCCCTGCCTTGTTTTGCAGTTTGGAAATTTCCAGGGGTTACTCAATACGTGCTGATGTAGGGCTTACCTGTTAGTTATCGATCTGGTTCTATTCTGGATCTACTTGTTCTTTGGCCCTGTTTACGTGATCAGTACGTTAGGGTAAACAGAATTGTTTATGCGTTCTTGCCCTTTACCCATATCTCATACTTGTTCCTGCTATACTGGCAACAATACTTATCTTAAGTGGAGTATGTTCCCAAAGACTTGCTTCTGGCTCGTGAGATGTAGGGAAAAGGGAGGGGAAGAATGTAGGCCTTACCGCCCCTAAACTAGCACGTACAGAGTTCTTCCGCAATTGACCCCTACATTTGCTAAGACTTGAATTTGAAAAGGGAAGCGAAAGAGAATTTATGATTGAGTGATTGAAAACCGCTATCTGTGAAAGTACATTGTTTTTCTAAAGGGTTTAAATGTGCACCAAATGTGAATATTGTGTATGGATAGCTGTATGCAGAACTTAATCAATCAATGTCTTTGTTAATTTGTTCCATTCCAGAAACTTGAGTAAAGTTCCTTCCTCTCAGTAAATGCAGATATCTGAAAGTGACAGCATATGTGTAAAAGTGCCTTGCTGGTTCAGGTTTTTTTCTTCTCCTTCATAGTGCTCTTAATTCCATAAATCCATTGCTGGATGATGTCTTACCAACTATTGCTTCTTTATTGAACTTGTATTTTTGGTTAAGATTATGTAAAAAGGCTGTTGCAAAACAACTCTTAAAGTATTTACTGGCTTTTCATATATTTGGCTCTCCTTGTCTGTCTTGTTGCTTCCCTGGTTA